TGTCTTGAATGCTATAAAAAGGCAAGTTAATATTTTTCTTACAGTTTGTTCCTTTAGTCTTTTTATGTAACAGTCTACCATTTATCAGGAGAATATCTCCCCCCACTTCTCCTTAGGGAAGGTTTTCAAGATTTTTTCTCTTACTGTATCTGTGTCAGTTGGTGCAGATTGAGAATAAGGTTATGAAATTTTGCTTTGAAAATGGTCCAAGGTGATGTGAGGTGCTTAAAATGTCAGATTGTGTGACATTTGCTTAAGATTTTCCTTTTTGTCTTCAAAAATGGTTAAAAGAAGGGGGTTAATTGTAAAGTATCTCATCAGTGCTTCAAATTGTAGCACCCCAGTTTGTGATCCATCCTCATGTGGAGTCACTTTGTGAAGTCAGAAGAGCATAGTCATGACCTGCATTTTGTGTGAGAGCTACAGCTGTAAGTATACAGCCTGTTGGTCACTTGGCTGTTGGTTCAGGTTGGTGGGCAGACCCATCCCAAGTGTGGGTGAGGAGTCCTGGGTCCATAAGAAGGACACAAATTTGTGTGATGATTCCTTCAATGGAATAGCTAGACTTACACTTTAAAATTAGACTTTATTGGGAAACTATTACAGAGTTCTTGGAAACATTTTTGTTTTGCACTTCATGCCTTACCAAACAATGCTCCTTTGCTTGTCTTTTTTCAACCCTCCCTTTTTTTATTGGAGTTTCCAGAAAGGAATTGATTTTTAGGATGAAAAATCGTAGGGTGAGGCAAGATGAGTGGTTCTTGCCTCCACCTTGTTTTCCTCAAATACTCAGGCTTTGGACATGGACTTGTCTTTGCCTGGTCACAGACTGGTGGAGCGTCTGCAGCGCCCTCTCCTCATTAATCATGTCCCAGCCATAGCTACTTTTTCTTCATCTGGGAGCAAAAGCCCCATCTCCAGGGACTGCCTGAGATGTTCACCAAGCTTGTGAAGCCCTCAAAAGCAGCCAGGTTACTCCAAAAACTTGGTGTTGCTGAGTGAGGAGAAAAAGCCACAGCAGCCTTTACAGTTTTTTTCCTTTGTGTTTCTTTGGGAAATAATTGGTTTTGTTTATTTATCTTTTATATGGGCTTAAATATTATGGGCTCATGATATAAGAGATTGTTAACTGGTGTCCTGCCATAATTCCATAAAGCGAACAAGTTCATGTTTCCTCACTTATGCAAAACACAAGTCCTATTGACCCAGAATCCATGATTTTGCCACTCTCGCTTCTATGTCAGATTCAGTCTATAGCTGCTCTGAAATTTCATGGCTAAGAACAGGAAGCCAAGGAGAGGTTTTGAAGGTGGCTTGAGCTGATTCATCAGCTGGATGTTATTGCAGAGGACAGTGTGGGCTTGAGCCTCTTCTTCCTCCAGTGGTGGTGCTGAGCCTTCTCACTATATCAGGAGAAATGCAATCCCTTGTGGTAGCTGAGAGCAAACTGCTGCCCTTCAGGAAATGCACCTGCAGTCATTTGCTAGAGAATTTGTAAAAAAACAGGTTGAATTGTTTTCTTTTTTTCCCTTTCTATTCTCTGTTGGATAACATTGACCTTGATAAGCCATCTCAGCATCTGGAGACGTTCTTCTGCATGGAGACGTAACAAAGCCATTTTGGTATGCTCACCTTGTGTTTAGTGATTTTGGTGTTGGCAAACTGAGCACATACTGCTCACAATGCCTGGTGGCAGGAGCAGCAGACATGAATACCCCAGTTTCATTCTTGCCCACCATAAAGTTACTGCTGGAACTTACTGCAGTGATCCTGAGGTTTAACAGGTCCCTTACTGCATTTAACTCACATGGCTGGGTTGTAATGAACATGTTGGAGTGTAAAAAACCCAGCCTTTTCCTTCAAATAAAACACAGGCACAGAAAACATCCCTTGTTTTTTGAAATGAGCCATTGCACTTGGGACTCTTTAACATTCAAAATTTAACAGGTAGGACTGCTCTCTTCCTCACATATTTTTCAGCTAATGAGGAACAAGTCTTTTCACTCTTTTTGTGTGTTTATTAATCATTTGGGGTGTCTCTATTGCAGGGCACACTTTGCTCATTGCTGGTTCCCTACAGCTCATGTTGACAGCTCTTGCTGCCCTTGGAGAGGAGCCGTGGCTCAGGGTGCTGCTCTTGTTTTGAGGGTGATGCTTTGTTTGCTCAGAGCTGCCACGTGCCCAGCCCGTGGTGTTTCTGTGTGTGAGTGATTCAACCCTTGTTGTGCACAAGTAATGGAGTACCTCTTGTCAAGGGATGGAGAAGATGAATGTGTTTTTCAAGTGCTGGCCCATGACTTGAAAAACCTGGATGTGTTTCAGAGCTCTGCTGCCAACCTACTGCATGACCTTCAGTGAGCTGTTAAGGGCAAGCCCTCTCCTGTTGGGGTTGGAGAGCGCTCATGGACAGTCTGCAGGGAAGACCCTCCTCCAGTCTGAGGGGGAAGCAGCAGTGGAGTAAGCTGGAGTGATGTTCTTTCCAGCAGGCAGTGTGGTCAGTATTAAAAATCTGGCACATTTTGAGGGTAGAGTCCAGAGAACTGGAAAGTTGTCTTTTCAGGCATGTGCTGGGCACAAGGGTTTGAACTTCATCTGCCTCTCAAACAGGGTAGTAATGAGACAGTGTCTTCTCCTTACATCAGGGGGTGAAGTTCCTCCATACCACAAAGGAAGATGCTTAAAATGAGCATTAATCATCTGCAGTTGGTTTATCTGTTACAGTCTGACTAGAAAAGCCCATATGTTTATGTAAAAACACAACTTGTGCAAGGTGCTGGTCACTGAGCTCTTGCATAGCCCGTGAGTCCTGCTGCCATCCAGCTGGCCTTGAAGGCAGATGATGGGAGTGCTGTGAGAGGTGTGGTATATGCAAGATGGGGGGAGATATAAAAAGTAGAAAACAAAACAAAAAAAAATTACATTTTCGCTTGTTGGACTGCGGGGCTCGTCTCCCAGGAGAGCTGAGCAAAGTACATATTGACACATCCTTGTTGGAGCCTGGAGAACGAGTCCTGCTGGTGCATCAGGCACAGCACAGCAAGGTTGGTGGGACAAGCCTCATTTCTCTGGAAGCAGAGATTCATCTCAGTTTGCATGCTCATATTTTACAGGTAATTGGTTTATGGAGAAAACAGTTAGCTTGAGGATTTTGGGCAGGTGTTCTTGCTGTAGAGAAATAGGTTTTACAGGCATTTTCCATGTCATGAAGTTATCAAGAGTAGCTGAGATTGGCTGTGTAATTAGTGTGATGGGAGTTATTTTGGGAGATACAAATCCTTTTCCAAAGTGTTTTCATCAGCTCAGGGACTTGGGTAAGACCTTCCTCAGCTTCATTTCCTTTAACTGGGGGGAAGTTAGGGAATATTTCATTTCCTAACCCTCCCTATCACTGGGAAAACACTAGAAGCAAGGACAAGGCAATTCAGATTTCTTTTTCCACAAATTAGCAGACTTCAAGTCTGCAGACTTCCAGTTGCCTTGTACCAACCTGATTGCTGGGTTTTGTAACAACAAAACACGTTGGAGGCACACCAGATTTTTGTGGGTTATGGTGTTGTCCCCACAAGCCAGCTTAGCCTGGGTTGTACTAAGGTAATGGTGCATCTTTGCTGCAAAGAAGGCAATTTTTATTATTTTCCCAAGGGAAGAAGTAGTTTTGGTTCAAAGTAGATTTTGTATGTGAGGTGACTTAAACATGATCAAAGTCAGTGGAATTTTATTTCAAATAAACATGTGATTCTCCTAATCAACCCTTTAAAGAGAACATCTGGGGAAAAAATGTCAGGGTTTTGTACATTTAATTATTCACTTGATTTTTCCCTTTTAAATATCTGATGACGTTTCCGCTGTTTGAGGGTAGATAGGACTTTATTGACACAATTAGCAAAACAAATGATTATCACACCTTTTCCTTAGCCCTGTCCTATTTGATCTATTTGCTTGTGCTTTCATTACTCCTGTGCTTGGTTACATTACACACAATGTTATCACCTTCCTGTGCTTCTGTAGCTAAAACAAAGTAAAAAAACCTTTTTTGGCTCTCAGCTGCTCTCTGCTGTTTTCTTTTTACAGATGAACTAGAAAGCAATGTCAGGCAAAGAGTTATTTGAGTTTCCTTTCAGCACTTGTTGGGCATTATATCCGGGCCTGGCGCTTGCCTGTGTTTATGCGACAGCTTTCATATTTTAAAATAACAAACAAAAATCCCAGCAACTCTACTCCCAGCACAATTAGTGCGATCAGATTAAAAGAAATGAAAAAACAAACAACCAAAACCCCCCAGATCACGATGGGTTCATATATGTCAAATACGAGAATTTTTATGACTAATTCCTCTGGTATTTTGAGCCACTTTGCTGGGATGTGTTTATTTTCTCTGAAAGCAGAGGTGGGAAGTGTGGCTCTGTCTGGTCGGAGGTCACATTGGGCTGTTGTGCTGAAGGGCAGAGTGTTTCTGCTCTGTCACTGGTGGATTGTGCCACACTTTGCTGTGGGTTGCTGAAGGTGTGATTCTCCTGATGGTGGAGAGACATTTTCCACTGAGGTCAGGAAGGCAGATGGTGCTGCTGGCCTGCTGCCCTACAGCCCTTTCCATCCTTCTCTTCCCTGGTAGTGAAAATACCTCATTAGGTTTAGGAAGTGTGGCAAAAAGAGAGGGAAGGAAAACTCTGCTCTTTCACCTGACAAAAGAAAAAGAATAGTTTTGAAAAGATGTGTTGGCTAGGTGAGAACTACTTTCAGTTGTTGACTTCTCCTCCTCCTCCTCCTTTCACATCCCCTAGAACCCATGAGGCAGCTGGAGGTGGTGATCCATGCTGTGTCTGTGGTCACTATTACACTAATTTAAATAAATCATACAAATAAAAAAAAAAAAAAAAGAAGCAAACCCTAAAACCTTCCTTCTGTGCAAAAATAAATCAAGAGATTGGAGTGGGAATAAACTTTGTGCAATGTGGTAAGAGCTGTAATGTAAATGGCCTGTCCCTTTCTTCTCTCTGAAGGTCCCAAGCCCATGTGTCCCACTTGTCTGGAAGAACATTTGGAGTCTGGCAGCCTGGTCCTTTTCATAGCTCCAGAGGATTTTTAGGAGCATAGGGAGCATGGGATGCATGGACCTGAGGACCCACAAAACCTTCTGGAGAATGTTCGCTGTGGATAAAAGCATCTGGAAGTTTCTACCATCTTTTTACCCTGATTTTTCCTGGGTCACCCTGTGTCATTTGTGGCCCTGAGGATTATAGCACACAGTCACTTACTGGAATACCTCCCCATGCATCTTCTTGAAATGGAGCCACTGCTTTACCCAGCTGGCAGATATTTTCTCCTCTCCCAGAGCTTTTCCAGTGCAGCAGCAGCAGTCCTGTCCAGCAGGTATGTAAATGGTTTTCTCATTGACTGCCCAGTTTGCTTTCTTGATCTTCAGTTCAGTCTTTTTTTTTTCCCCTACTAGCTTCTGCTAAAGGTAAGACCTACCAAGGCCCTGGTGCCATATTCTAAGGGTGACTTTTCTTTGTTGGGGCAGACCCAGTTTGAGATGTAGGTTCTCATGGATCAGTAGTGTCAGCTGCTGAAGGTTCTGATGACCAACCACAGCCTCATACATGAGGGAAAGGATGGATGTGATGGATGGATCTCTTCATTCCTCCACCTGGGTCCTCCAGGACCCTTGGGCAGCTGTGTTTGTAACCTGCAGCTGCCATCAGCCATGTGTGCATCAGCTTATCAGGCTTCATGGTCTCCTTTCAAAAAAGATGACACAAGTGGTTTTTCTCTTCTTGGTTCAAGAGAATTTCTGCTGAAGAAAGTAAGGTTGAGGATGACTTATCCCATAAAAAATTAGATGCTTTTAGCTCTAAAATTAAACTATTCCTATTCCATATAGACGTGTATAACTCAACAGCACTAGTGTTAACAACCAAATTTGCATTGTATGAGTCATTTACAATGAATCAGATGTTTTTGTGAAGGTGAAATTTTTTTGCCCATTCTTTCTAGCAGAGAATTATTGTTTTGGTTTCTGTGGGTATCATTTTGCTGTGAAAATCATTCTCTTTGGCACTTGTGCTGTTTTGGTCAAATGCTCAGGTGTGCTGGTGTGTTGAACAGATCTCTTCTTCTTACAGGGTAGATAAAAAATTTGCTTTTTGTCTCTAAATTTTATTTTCACCATACAAAGAGGAGGTGCTGAAGGAAAAGGGCTAAAAATGCTTTGATGTACATTTATTCTGCATTCCCCTCAGCATTTGTGAGGCATTAAAAGTTTAATCTTGCATTGTAAGCAAAATTTTGCATCAAAGGAAGGAAATGAGAGGGGTAGGGTGGATAGATCATGTTCAGTGGGAAACATAATCAGTTGCCTCACTCTTCAGTTTGACTGTGACTCGTAGGCCGGATGGAGATGGTAGACAGAGATTGGGGATAAAGATGTTCTTTGCTTTATCAATGAGCAAAGTCAAGTGCTTGCTGTGCTTGTAAGAGAGGCTGGAGCTAACAGCAGGGATTTGGAGGTGGAAACAGCATCCTGCCAGGCTGGTGGGGATGGTCCATGCTCATCCCTGCAGTGTGGTCATGTGCCAGGGCAGAGCCTTCTCCAGCAGCACTGCCTGGAGCTCAGCCCAGCAGGGCAGACCCTTCTGTGTGCTTGCATGGACTCTGCTCTGCTGCAGAGACATCCCCTGGAACCAGCTCTTCATTTGCACATGGTTTTCCTTCCTTAACCTGAGTTAACAGCTTTCCCCATCACTGAAGTCCCTAGTGTTTCATTAACTAGCTCCTAACAACTTCTAAAGCACCTGAGAAAAACAGATGACTTGCAGTTGTTCTTTTTATCTACAATTAAAGCAAGCACCATTGATAATTTAATTTTTTTTTTGTGGTCAGCTGATTGACAAAGACATTTCAAACCAAATCTCCTCTTGTTGCTGTAAGATGTGAAAGGGTCTTTTGTCAGCAGCACATTGCAGTGGAATGAGCTTTATCTTTTTTAAGTAACTGGGAGCAAATGGGGTATCAGTTGCTCTGCTCTGGTGCTGCCAGGCCCTTTGGTGCTTCTGGACACTGAACAAAACCTGCCTGTGACCTGGATAACCCAGAGCAGCCCCAGGGTGCTTGACCTTTCATTGTAGGGTCAGCACTGACAGCGAGCAGGGAGAAAAGCCATGGTGGATGTACCCTGAATTTTGTGTTCTGCATGGCCCCTTGCAGGGTGACTCCCCAGTTACACTCAGTCAGGCACCTGGCACATCTGGGCTACCTGGGATGGCCCAGGAATCAGAGCTTGGCCAGGAATGATGTTTCAGTAGTAAATGTGCGCTGTCCTTTACAGGGAGGAAAAATCATCTCAGGTTTTCTTCCGAGCAGGTCTCACCCTGCACAGATGTGGGGCAGCTTCAGAGGGTAAGCAGTTTAAGGGCTTTGCTGTTGGTCAGCTTGAGCATCCAGGCAGGGGGCTGCTGGCTGCATCCCTAGGTGCTAATTAAAAGATGAACTACATTAGCATTCAAGATATTTGCTGGTAAAGTAGCAAAGATTTGCTTTGAGTCAGGTTGTGGATCCTTGGATCAAAATGTCCTTTAGGGGGTTGGTCTGTACACAGATGCATGTTATTAATAATAATTTAGAAAATACAGAAAGCTTCTATTTGGCTGCCTGAGAGGGTTATGTATGTGGGTATGTGTTTCAAAAGCACACAACTGATTATAAAAATCATTGATGGTCTAAGTCAGTATTAAGGATGGTTGGATGACAGTGAAAAGCAGCCCTGGCACATTGCAGGGATGTTCTTGTCATGACTAACCCCTCTCACTCTCACCCCTGTGGAATTTTTCAGTGCCCAGCACAGACCAGCACTGAAATTGCAGGTTTGCAGAAGTTTTTAAATCTCTCCCCAGCTGGCAGCAAATTAAGGAATTGCAAGTATTTATTGGTTTAAGGATAAAATATAACCTCAAAAGCTATAAAAAATTTTGACAATGAGGCTTTTTTAAGGGAGTCTTACTTTATGGTTTTCTGAGTCAAATGTGTCAAAGCCTGACAGAGGAAGAGGTTTTAATCTACAGGTGCTGTCTCTTGCTTGATGGTTTCCTGCTTCTAAAATTACTTCCAGGTTTTTTGGAATTGGGTCTGAAACTAGTTTCAGTTTTCAGTTTGTGGGCAACCTTGCTTACCACTTCAGCAGGCTGGATTTGTGAGGGGTGGGGGCAGCAAATGCTAGTGCTTTTAAACATTCTTATTTTGGCTGCCAAAAGTCCATTTGCCGCTTTTAAAATATTTACAGCTGAATCTTTGGATTCACATCTTCTTTTGCTCAAGGAAAGTGCTGAAGCTGGCAATGCTGAAATGTTGCTTTGATCTTTCTTCCCCTGTCCTGCATGGGGAGTTTGGAGGAGAGCGTGCCCAGGGTGAAGGATGTTGATTCACCTGTGTCATCCTGCACAGGCTGACTTTGCTCATCGTGCAGCAGTGAAAGTCAACACGAGCAAAGCAAATTAAAGGTGTATGTCAGTCCTTAGTTTATGCTAAAAAGATCAACCACTTTTCAAGTGTGCATTTTCCTCTCCTTAAGGGCTGTCCCTCCTTTGGGGCACCTATTAATGAATGCCATTTGTGCCCAAACTTTGTGCTCTTACAGCAGGGCAGGTAATTGGGGATACATTAGGCCATATTTCTGTTTATTCATATAAGTAAATAAATATTCATTATTTTTAAAGATCTGGAATAATCCTCCTAGTATGACTTTAATGATCCTCTATTGATGACTTTAAGACCTTTCTTGGAATGTTGTATTAACCAAAGCATCCCAATCATTACTTTCAGAATAAAAATATTTCTCTATGTGTGATCTTTGCTTTTCCACAAGCACCTGCATCTGCCGGTACTGACTTACTGTGCACAGTAAACACTGAGCTGTCTCTTGACTTACTGTGCTCTTCAGGTTGCAAAGAAGCAGTGACCTAACACAAAACATATTGTTAATGCCAGCAAGAAAGCAAGAGGTGTCTGCTTGTCTTCTGAATCCTTTGTGTTGCTTTGAGGGGCTCTGTGCAGAACTGGAGGTGCTGACAGGCTGTTTTCTGGTGCTCCCAGCTGCTGGGCAGTGTTATGAGGATTAGCATTGAGGAACTCTGAGCAAAATTTGTCTCATGCCACGAAAATGTAAAGCCTCCAAAGCTGGCTGGCATCCCAGGGCTGTGAGAGGCCCTTGGAGGGGCTCTTGGTGAACGTGGCAGGATTTGCACTGTTCCCTCTGTGAATGGGACATGATCTGAAGAGTTTCTGATTAAGCTTTAATAATTTCCAAGCTGGTTTGGTTGCTTACATAGGGCAGCAGACAAAAACTGCTGACCAGGAATGGCTGCTATGGGACCAGTCTGCCATCATAGGAGGGCTTCTACCTAATCTTCCTGTCCTGCAGTGTGGTGCCCAGTTCAGAAACACAAAATATCATTTTGGGCAATATTTTATTCTCAGGGTGTTTTCTGAGCTGAGATCAATCCCAGCCTCCTACCCTGGCAGTGTTTTGGGTATCCTGTGATTTTGCTGGCTCTACTTTTGCAGGGTACCATCAATAGGCTGCCTCCTCTTTATTTTTGCAGTGTCAAAATCAGGAGGTCAGATTAGAGACCTGGGGCTTCAGCAGCAGAAACAGGGCCTGAGTGTGTGCAAAAAACCAAAGTCCCTATATTTATAACTATTATTGTAGACAGCTTGAGGGATGAGGCACAGCTGCATTGCAGCCGTGGTGCCTCTGGAAGGTGGATCTCTTACTATCCTGATTAGAAGTGTATCCTCAGGTCAGGTTCAGCAGCCCAGTTTGCCTGGCTGGGGGCATTCCCTGGGGAGCTGAGTGATCTGGACACCCCACACTGCCCTGGCTTGGCCCCCTCCACAGCTTGGATATGCCCTCCTGCCACTGGCAGCATTCTTGTGGCGCATAGATGTGGGATTGCCATCATCGTCCTCACTGGCACTATCTCTTGGCTTTCATTAAGCTTTTTGCACAAAGCAGCTCTTTGTGGTGGCCCCTGTGCAGTTTTATCCAGGGCTCCATTTGCATCACCATCAGGTGGTTTTCATTTGACCTTTGCCTTGCTTAAAAATTAAGTACCAAGGTACTAGGGAGAGAAGTAATTTCCCAGATAAGCACTTTTCCCCTGCTCTTCTGTAGTTCATGGGGGAGCTGGCTTACCCTGCCTGTGGATGACTAAGGAGGAAATTCTTTTTTGGTTAGGATAATGCTGACAGTTCACTGGAATTTTTTTATCATGGGTTTATCATTTCCTCCCTACGAATTCTTATGTTCAGGGCAGGAAGAAAAATTAGTGGTGACCACAAGTTATGGAATTTGCCTTCTGTGGAAAAGATGCTGAACA